ATCCAACCCGAACATTATGACATTGTCGGCAAGTATCTCATTCAGGCCTTCGGTCAAGTCCTCGGCCCAGCCATGACGCCTGAGATTCGTGAGGCTTGGACAAAGGCCTACTGGATTCTTGCCAAGATGCTCATCGGCCGTGAGGCCCAAATGTACCGCGAGTTTGACGACGACAAGTGGAAGGGATGGCGCAAGTTCCGTATCGAGCGGAAGGTTGCCGAGACGGACGACATCTTCTCCTTCTACATGGTCCCAGTAGACGGCAAGCGTCTCCCAGACTTCTATCCTGGCCAGTACACCTCCCTCCGCTCGACGATCCCGGGTCTCGGACACCTGCAGTCCCGCCAGTACTCTCTCAGCGACTCTCCTCGGCCCGACTACTACCGCATCACCGTTAAGCGTGATCAAGGTGTCAAGGTCGGCAAGGGCCAGGCTGTCTTCAACCTCAACCCGGGCGTCTTCTCGAACTTTCTCATCGACGAGAAGAAACCTGGCGACATTGTGGAGTTGACACATCCCACAGGCGACTTCTTCTTCGACACGCACGCCGCCGGAACTCTTCCCGTTGTCCTCATCTCTGCCGGTGTTGGTGTCACACCGCTGATGTCTATCTGCAACACCATCATTGAGCGTCAGGCCGTCCGCCCCATCTCATGGATACACTGCTCGGCGCGCAACGCCCCCTTTGAGGAGCACATCCGCAAGATTGCCTACAGCCGCGCCAACTTCATCACCAAGTTCTTCCGCTCCCAGATTGCCGATGTCGAAGACGATGATTCACTGTCTTCGTCCAGCGACTTTGGCCTTCGCATGGACCTTGCTCGGATAGATCCTGCAGAGCTCTACCTTGGCCACGGTGGTGCCGAGTACTATATTTGCGGTCCCGAGATATTCATGGTTGAGATGTCTCAGTACCTGCTTGATCGGGGAGTTGATCCCGCCAGAGTCAAGTTTGAGAGGTTCACTACCGGCGACTTGGAGATGAAGCACTAAAGGCGTAAAAGCGTTGGCTACACAGCACCTTGGCTGACTGTGCATTTGATTTAACGGGAGAACGGAACAGGACACTGAGGATTTTGGTTCAATGAACGTGGCGGAGTTTCATGAGTTGAGAAACGGTCTATCTGGGAAACGGTTCAATGTTTAAGCGGCCACATAATGTCTGGTCAGTCATCAGTTAAAGGAAGACACGGAGGATGGGTGGTATCCATTGATTTTGAAGTATCTGGATCGGAAGGGCCAATCAAGCGTGCTCGTTTGCGCTGTAGAGAAAAAGAATCTTCTTGCCCTCCACTGCCGCTACTCACCTACGATTGTCTCCAAACGCTGCGAGAGCGCACTTGACAAACGCCGTCATGGCTGTTGCCTATTCGCCGCGCAGCAGTGTGCAAAGATGTGATCGCAAAGCGAGTGCTTTGGTGCCGATTCAACACCAAAAGTCGCTCTCTATCCAGCAAATATTCGACATCATACGAGAAAAACTGGATTGGGCGCCGCATAATGCAACCGCCTGACTCGTCCACTATTTATTGACGCCTCTGACCCCCCCAGAGTTCCCTACGGGGTACCTAAACTGGGGGCTTTTGGGGCGGAGAAGAGCTGGGGTTTTGTCCTCCGGTGGGCTTCGGAATTCCCATTGCAACCTGGGTCTTACACACACATATCGCACTCGATTTTGATATCCACGCAACTCATCACGACCGTCTTCCGTTGGTTGGGGGGTTGGTTTTCGTCCACAACATCCCATGATTGCGTCCGACGTCGCTCCGCAAGCGAGAAGGCTTGATGGAGTCTTGCCGATGCGCAGCAAAATGCGATCTCACGCTTCCCCTTGCCTTTCCCATCGGGATCGGGATTTCGATCAAATGCGCCGAACACGTACGGATACACACGCACACAACGCAGCGGCATAAAAGGAGCAAAAACGCTTTGCCGGGTAACCTCCGTGATGACGAGTGAGCATTGCTACCTAGCGTGAGGCACAGCCTACCACAGCCGAAAGTCTCCCCTTACTATTGATGTCTGTCCCCTGCGAGATCGTGGGTCAAGTTACTATCGGACTTCACAGAGAAAAGTCGGATTCCATTTTCTCGACTGTCCCGTTCTGCGGCGACCTCTGCGGCGCGGGCTTGACTCGCTAGGAAGAACCCGCCCATCGAGACTGATCATCGACGATGACGCCAGCTTTTCATGTGTCCTCTGCAGGCTCCCCTCGCTCCCGATGCTGCTCATTTTGTTGCCCTGCAGCGGGATCTAGAGCTAGTGCAGTGCTGGGAATCCGCAATCCGCTCCGTCGGCAAAGACCAACGGCTATGCCGCCGTTTGAATCTTCAACGGCGTCCGTGCCAACCATACTAGATCCCGCTCGCCCGCTGGAAAGGAGCCCGCAACAGATTATCTCCTCATATTAAATCCTCCTCAAAATTCTGCTCTCACCTGCCGGTACTTGGGAGAGTTTTCTCACAGCCAGGGGGGACAACAAGAAAGGAGAAAATACCAAGGAAAAATCCCTCTCGCTTGATTAGACTTTGGGAGTGCACATGGCGGTCAAGAGGAGAAAAATTCCCCGGTGATGTCGCAGTAAATGAAGAAAACGTCAACTGCCAAGGAAACCTTCCCAAGTGAAGGAAGGGGGTGTTGTGTTAGACCGCAGGGGCAGAGGAAACAAGTCCCAGCAAACTCAACTCAGGAGCCAGCTCCGGACACCGCCTGCCTGCTCTAGGGTCTTCGTCCACCCATGCGTGTTATCCGAGACCTCATATAGGGAAACATTCGCCGCGGGACGGCGGGTTCGTCGGAAGACAGGTTGCTCAACAAGGTGTTGTTTCCGGTAGCATTGCGGCGCTGGGGGGCGCTGTCGCTGTCGCAAAACAAAACACGCGCGCGCTGAGCTGAGCCTCCGTATCGGGGGTGTGTCGTCGGTGACTGACCCTGAAAAACCGACCCCCGGCCGCATCAGATGCTCGTCAGGCGCCGACACGACGCTGCAGGGGCTCTTGGAAAAGGGCACTGCAAGGAGCATTTTTTGTTTCTTCTTTTGGTTCGTGCACTGTTATGCGAGTCGGAATAATGGCATGTTTATCGGCAGTGCGTTTCCCTATTTGTGATTTGCGATCAAAGTTTCTTTTTTGTGTTGTCAGAGGTTGAGGTCGAGAGAGCCCAGGCCGCTGGCTTCGGTCGGCAGTTGGGAGGCTCGGTGTAACCCTTCGGCTGGATTAGTGAACTGCGCAACGTGGCGTCGCTGCAACGTGAAGTCGGAGCTGTCACTTTGACAAGCACACCTCACCGCTCATGATGAAAGTATATTTATCACGGGACCAGGGAGTTGAGTATTCCGAGCGTCTCGGGTCATTGATGCATGGCGTGCCCGGACCTCGCTGGATGATGTATTTGATACAATCAGTTGAAAAGACTGGAGCAGCGTAACCAGGCAGCAAATCGCCGGTGACTTGTATGTCACTCGTAACTTGTCATATTTGAACCATTTCGGAGTTTACGTCTTCTAATAAGTCCTTCGATTTAACACCCTACAGGTCCACATGTATGCTACAACGGCAGAATGCCGACCACCTTGGATGGCAAAGCATGAGGTTTCCTTTTGATAATGTTCCTTCAACATGACTGTCAGAGCGCTGTCTTTTATAGTCATATTGGCTATCCAGGCTCACAATTGTACTGTGGTACGGCATAGGTTCGCCGCACTAATGTCCATATGAGCGTCTGATAGGGATGCTGGGTCTGTGTAGTTACGTGGGGTTGGGAAAGGAGTATACGGTGACAGGATATGTTGGTTTCGAAGCGAATGATGCGCACTACAATTTCGGAAAACTTTACTACACATATGTAAACATGCTTGCCCCCAATTCCAAATGACACGATTCGAAATGCCAAACACTAGATCGGCTTATGTTAGTAGCAGGTGCCATCTCTCGGCCAAGTTCAAAGTCTATCTGAACCTCCAGTGAGGTTTGACTATCTTCTTCATGTCTGTATTTGACAGGCTACAAACGAATGATTATCGAAAGATACAAAATGTACATACAGCTGGACTTTGGAACACTTGATCTTTGGTAATGGTCGTTCTCGGGAGTCAGAAACTGGTACACTCTCATCCTGGCATTACAAGAGAAATATCAGTTGTTAGACTGCACGAACTGCTATTTTGACGACTGAAGAAAAGTTTGTGGCACTGCGAACAGCAGAGATGGTATAATATGGCCGACTCGGAGGAGGTCAGTACTCACACGAAGCGGCTTCTACTATTACACAAAATTTCTCGCAGGAAAGATGAGTTATGAAGAAAATACGAGTTACTCAGGACAGAACATCAAAAGCTGGTCAGCAATAATCCTCCTCCATCCTTTTCAAAATTGACGTTTGGCCGCTCAAAGATCATTGGTCGACTGCTTTTTATATCCAAATCCAATTGGTTAGATTTTCCGGTAGTTCACCGGTGCTACTACGAGGCACAGTTGCGGCCTGGAAAGGAATACGATGAAGGATTCGTATGGAGGCCTACGCCGTAATGGCTTTCCCACCGCCAAGCAATTGGGGCTTACTGCACACCGCCGGGGAAGAATACGAATGGTAGGTAAGAAATAAAGTCTTACTTGCAAAAAGACACTACTTTTGGAAGTAGAGCTGCATGTCTTTGTTTTGCAGGACGGAACGATCGGCCCACACGGGTATGCCTTCTGATTTGACCATGTTGCACCACACAAGCTCTGTGAAACGCAAACATATGGTCCGCTACGATGGCATGGCGTTTACTCAGCCATTGACGCGAGTGTAAGGCGCTCTCTGATTCTAAAGCTGAAAATACGAATGTAACGTCGCGCTGGTGCGTGAGTGCAGGATTGCGGTCATCATGACCATTCATAAAAGCCTCTCTCCCTAGCTCTACATTATCTGTGTTGTTATTCAAATCCAGAGTTGCGACTTAGCTCTCGACTTATCTTCGTTCGAGTCCCAATCATCCATCTCAACTCTGATACCCAAAGATGTTTTCCACCAAGCACCTTCTCTCCCTCCTCGCTGTCGGCCTTCATGCCGGAATCGCTGCTTGCGAAGAATACGGATCCTGGCATGTCCAGATCAACCTCTCTGGCGGGGCTCAAGGTCACAGACTGGGAGAGCTTCATGCTGTTCACTCAAGCACACCGAACGAGGAAAGCTACGCAAGATGGCTCTACGACCCCGCGGTGGGATACACTGTCTACACGGCCGAGGACCCTACCTTGAACAACACTTGGATCGACAGCGTTGGTGTCCATAGTATGTATGCCCTAAGCCAGACAAACTCGACGAAGCTTACACTCTTGCAGCTTTTGAGATTCAGCAGGAGGTTCTCGGCGTTTCCCTGAAGGGTTCTGGGCCGATCGAAATCTTTTTCAACACCAACGGGAACGGTAGAAGCGCCTTTGGAAATGCTACTATCCCCTCCCAATTGGACAATTGAGATCTTGATGTGTTGACAGCCTCGAATCCAAGAATGAGTAAAACACAGTCTCGCATAGTGGCAGGTGGTTAAGAAATCACGAAATATTCAAGGGGCATGGAAAGGGTATTTGGTACATGTAGTACTATGCATAGTAATAGGTCTCGAAATCAATAGTTGGCCTAAGAGATTTCACAAGTAATATCGCCAACACATTTGGAGACTCATAGGGTCAGATTATTAAATATTTTGTGATGCGAAAGTCGTCAGTATCACGACATCTGGCAGACCGCAGAGAAGCACACATAGCGGGTTTATCCGCCCATTTACGTGGAGTCTTGCTGGTCTCCATTGCGTTAACACCTCAACACACAAAGGATGTGGGCCGATCGGCCCACGGCCGTCTCCCAGATCTATCCCTCTGGCGTATGTCAGAGGCGTTTGCCCAGAAAGATCTTTGTGCCGTGTAGACGGCTCCGCACCGTTTTCCAACAGAGTCCTCGTGATCTCATGATACCCGTTTATAACCGCAAGGTGGAGTGAGGTTTGGCCACGATCGTCTCGGATGTTAACATCAAGCTTTTTGGAGACATGTCCTTGAACAATGTCTTTACGCCCATACTCAGCCGCAAAATGCAGCAGTGTCTTTCTCTGGGCTCCGTAGTAGCGCTCCCAGTGTGAATCGGGTATGTGGCAACCTTGGTCCACCAGAATCCAAGCAATATGCGGATATCCACACCACAGCGCCGCTTCTAGAACGTCTGTGTTAGACTTCTCGAAGCAGAAGTTGATGTCTGCCCCTTTCTCTATGAGGATCTTGACAATGGTTCCAAATCCAACGCAGGTACTCTGATGCAGACATTCATTGTAGTCCTGCCGTACCCAACGAGCGTCGACCCCATGAACAAACAGCATTTTGACGATGGCCTCAAATCCCTCAACGACATCTTGTTCAAGATCTTGTCCGTATTTGTTACGCATCTCAAAACGGTCCATATCATGGCTGACAATGACAGCCCGGGTTAAGTACTGATACTTTCCCCCCGGAGAAGTGGCATCCGCACCACTTTGTAGCAGCAATTGAGTGATTTCCAGATGCCCAGCCTGCGATGCTGCATGAAGCGCACTGCTATACTTCCACCTCTGCCCTTCCGACGTAACATCGTACTGTTGATTAGGGTTGGCACCAAGCTCAAGCAGGAAGTTTACCACATCGATGTTCCTCTGTGCGGAAGCATTTACCAGTGCTTCATCAAAATTAGGCCTCTCGGCTGTCAGGCTTGCTCCCCGATCCCGTAGACTTTTCACAAGGTCCCGTCTTCCAGCAGCGGCGGCAGCGTGAAGTGGGCCTATGACGGCCTCATCAGTCAAGGTCCCGATCGCGTCGAGGATAACCCCAATGAGGTAATCTACATCCGTATTTATAGCATCTGTGAGGGAAACGCTGTCAAGTGATACATGGCTCTCACAGAGTTCAAGTATGGCCAGGACAGTACGCGTGTGCCCCTCACGAATTGCTGTGGATAAGCCCGTGCCCAAGTCTTCACTGGCTCCGTTGTCGATCAGGATACGAACGATATCCTCGCGGCCTCTACGACAAGCGCTGAGAAGAGCATTCCCATGAATGCCGCCGGGGGAGTTGGCACTTGCTCCGCTTTCCAGGAGTAGCTGTACTATGCTAGCTTTGCCGCCGTAAGAAGTGGCTGCCAGCGCACTGCCGTAACAGCCACCTGGTGCGTTTACGTCTGCGCCGCGGTTGATGAGTAACCACGCCGTGTCCTCATGGCCTTCGTGACAGGCTGCTTGGAGTGCGTTTCCGTAAATAGCGGGAGTGTTGCCATTCTCGTCGGCGGGAGACCATAGCTTTGCAAAGTTTTGGGGCATCTCTGACTCCTTTGGATCTTCATGACTTCCGATGTTGTTGTTTAGGTTGGCGCCCTGATCAAGCAAAGCATGGATGACCTTCTCATGGCCCTTGCTCGATGCTGCTATGAGGGCACTGCCGTAGATCGGAGATGATGCATCGACTGCGACTCCTCTTTCGATAAGGAGGCGTACAACTTCAACATGCCCTCCGTATGAAGCAGCTCCTAAAGGGTCTCCGTACCTGGTGTTGTGTATGCTAATATCGCTGCCGCCGTCAAGCATTACCTCTACAAGGGCTACGTACCCTTGGTAACACGCTACCGGTAGGCCAAGACTGACGTCTACACCTCGATGAAGCAGCATCTCGACGGCGTGCATGTCATTGTCCAGACAAACAATCTCCAAGAAGCTATGGTTCTTGCAAGATTCTCCCGCGACAGTATGGAGACTCGCTCCGTAGTCGAGAAGCATCTGCACCGACTCCCAGTCACGCATCTTATGAGCTCGAAGCAGGGGGTCGTCGAATCTATGACCGATTGGATAATGGCGCTTAGCCACTCTCCCCGTATCGGCGCCCCGTTCAAGCAATAGCCGTACAATATCTCTGTGCCCCTCGTAGACAGCCACCTGTAGAGCCGTGTCATTTGATCTTACAGAATTAACGTCTGCGCCAGTGTCGAGCAGTAGGCACGCAAGGCTTTCTTTCCCATGTCGACAAGCACTGAAAAGGGGACCGCTCCCACTGTTTCCAGGCCTTGATTCACGTGAATTGACGTTGGCTCCTCTGTCAATCAGGAGACGTACGATATCCTCGCGGCCAGCTCGAACCGCACCTTCCAGCGCCGACTCGTCTGCGCTCTCAGAGTCGTTGACATTGAACCCGTGATCGAGCAGCAACTTTATGATCTCTACTTCTTGCTGACCATGAGGGGTGTAGAAACGCTGGAGAATGCCATTATCTTTGGCCCAAGCATTATTCGGTCCCACGCCTGCATCCAAAAGCATCCTGACGGCGCCGACATGGCGGTTCTTGGCTGCTATCCAAAGAGCCGACATTGCATGCCCATCTTGCTCCTCGTCAGCTAATGACACACAAATTTCTCTCTCCATGCTTCTGCCAACGGGCATACCGGCGTCGAGAAGGATCCGCATGATACGTTCGTCACCACGGGCCGCAGCAGATTGCAGGGCATCCCCGATCTGATTTGGCAGCAGCGTCAGACTTGCTCCGTGCTGCAGTAGAAGAGAGACAATCCTCACATCACCATACGAGGCAGCAGACTCGAGTGGTGATTCAGAGTGTTCACCAAGTCCGTGTACGTCAGCGCCCTTGTTGAGAAGAAGGCGAACAATCTCCACGTGGCCGTATGAGCAAGCCAGCTGGAGCACGTTGACTGACATTCCATCTGGAGGGTTCATGACTGCTCCCCGGTCGAGCAACAACCGAACGACCTTCAGATGCCCGCTGCTGCAGGCCCATCCGAGGCTGGTCTCGTACTCAGCAGTCATTGCGTTGACTTCCGCATTGGCGTCCAACAAAAGCTGGACAATTTCGATGTAGCCTCCGCTGGCGGCCATGTGTAGAGCTGTCCGATCGAAAGGGTCCTTCAGGTTTACATCTGCTCCATTTGCGACCAGAAGCTTCACAATCTTGGTGTGGCCTTTGTCTGCAGCTGCCACAATCGGGTAGCCTTGTCTTCCGCCCTGTTCATTGACGCCAACATGTTGCGAAAGCAGGCTCTCGACTTCCGAGACGAGGCCATACAAGCAGGCATAGTACAGACCCGACGCGGGTTTTGTGATTTTGAATGAGGCCTCTGGATCAAACATGATAAACCAATTCTGATAGGCCACGTCGCCAGAAGACAAAAAGTCGAGAATTAGGCCACTGTCTTCAGCTCCCTGATCTAGAGACCTAGATGCAGCTGCGTGGTCCAGCCATGATTGTGCGCTGTAGCTGGCGAATGGAAACGCTTCTTTGATCTGGTGTTTTGTCATTGCAGCCTTGATTTCTGACAGATATGCCACGCAGATGTCAGCAAGGGACGCCCGGGAAATGGCCGGCTCAATTAGTGGTCGCAGCTCTGCATGGAGCCGATCTGAGGTCAGATATTCCTTCACTGAGAAGTGGGCGAGTCGCACTTCTAGCACTTCCTTGTATCCATCGAGCTGGTCCCTTGCGCGCTTACGCGTCCGCGCCAAAAGCACCATACTTGGGCAATAGAGACAAACCTCGGTAGGTCTGGGCATCCTAAATCTCGGGTCAAACTTTGGGCACTCTTCCAAGTTTACCGCAAGAGCGTCGGCGAGCTCTTCAACTGTTAGTGGTCTATGTGAGAAGGCCAGGAAGCGGAGAACGGTGGTGGCATTGGATTTGTTTTCCTCTGGTATGTCTCGGATCATTCGATGATAGGTCTCATCAAGATCCCTGGGCAGAGATGACAGCTCTCTAAGAAGAATCTTAGGATCCAAGCACCTAGCTAACGAACTCAATTGGCATGTTACCCAGCGGAACCTAAACCGAAGTTAGCGCTGCTTTTCGGATGGTTACCAGTCAACCTACATTCCATCAACCTTAGACATTAGTGTAGATTCGATCTCTTTCAATACCCACTCGTATTTCTTCTCGTGCCACCTCTGAAACCTTCCACCTGGTCGAAGCTCATGGCGAATATAGGCCTGGATATCATCTTGTATAAGACTGTGCTGAAGTGAAATGAAACACTCTTTCTGGGCCCATTCGGTAAAAGACCTTTCGATATCTTCCACTGATCGGCTTGTAACGAGAATATGAGTAGATCCTACGGCATCCTGCTTCAGTTGTTTGATGAAAGAGAGAATACCGTCTACATACGATCCGTCTCTGGTTGTACATTCATCAAGGGCGTCAATGATAACCCAAGTCTCGTCTGACTGATTCAAGATTTTAACGAGACAGTCATAAAGCTGCTGGGTTGTCGGCTGCTCATCTCTCCGCGCAGGACGCGACTTCCATAGGTCATGTATACAGGCCTTTGATGACTCGTTCTTCTGAGAACACTGTTGGATCAGAGAACGGAGCAAACTGTCAAGAGTCTGTTTCGAACTGTCGTTGAAATCAAAGTAGAAATAAGCAAGGCAAGCCGATGAATAAGTAGACCGAACGTCTTCAATCAAAGTCGAGCTCAGAACTGTTTTTCCGCAGCCCGGGATTCCAGATACCCAGAGAAATGCACTCCGAGTTGCTTTCCAGTCCCGATATATCGGATCCTCTAGGAGCCAGGACCCGGTTCCCTCGTGGTGACTTTGCATAGCCAATTTGTGGTTGCTTGACTGGTCCGGCGCTCTCAGCCACGAAATCACCTCATCGTCTTCCCGATTACTGAACATTGTCTCTTGGAAATCATGCATGTCTTGCTTTACTAGATTTAACTCAGCGAGACTTCACCTGCCGGGTCTCGACTTTCCACTAACCTGACTCAACGGCATCGGCTAACTTCTTCTCTGCTTCAACCTTGCTCGGCAAGATCTTTCCTAAAAGGTCCTTGGCATAGGCAGCCGCAGTCATTGCGGCGTATCCATGCCAGTTGTCGTTCTTGTGGGTGTCCGAGTAGTCGCAGATACCCCTGACTACCAAACAAGGGAAGTGGTTCATAAGGCCTGCGGCTTCCATCTCGAAGCAAAGCACGCCCTTGTCTGCTGCGAGACGGTCCCGGACTGTGGCATCTTTCATGAGCTGATTCGCAGACGCGATAAGACCGTAATGAACAGCCGGGTCGTCATCGCCCTCATCTTCGTCTCTCTCTTCGCGGAGGACGATGTTATCCGAATCTGCACCGCAATCCGCCGTGCAGTCCCCGGTACCGCTAGTGTGAAGGTAATTCGACTGATAGAGAACATCGGTGCCTGGGTCTGGCCGTCTATACTTCCGGAGTCTCTTGTTCTTCCCCGTGATTTCTGTGACTGCCTCTTGAATATTGTGGCCTTTGCGTTCGTACTGCGCCCTGCAGATTGGTGACCGCAGTTCGGACGACGTTGGGAGGCTGGTTGAGATGTCTTGTGTGCTGGAAAGCTTGCTCTTGAATCGTCTTGCCAAAGTCATATTCAAATACACCGCTATTACCGCCGCGAGGGGCGCTGACGACAACATCACCGAGGCGTATGTCGTCCTTCGAGCTCAGGGCGCCGCCGCCGATGCCAACCATCAGGCCAATCCTGATGTTGGGGAATGAATGAATCATATCCCTGGCAACCGTCGCTGCCGAACTGGTGCCATATTCACCATCTGGAAGCACCGCGATGACCACGCTATGCTGCCCAATCCGACCAAAGGCGTAGCTGTTGTTGTCATGTACAGCAGCGCTGATTCCTTCGGCATCGTGTTCCTCGTCTAGGAATTCCTGTGCGGCGACGAACTCGGGCTTGATGGCGCAATTCCAGCCGACAGTGTACTGTTCGGCAGACATCGTCACTGTCGGGTGAAGAGCGAGAAGGCGAATTCAGAGTCGAGTAGAAAGCGCGCGCATCAAGATGGACATGGCAAAGGAAATCGCGCAGTACTGCCATCGATAATTTGAAAAGGCAGGCAGCGAAGATTGAAGGAAGGACCAGGCTAAGTATGAACTCCGGCCACACTGCCCTTTAGTATGGAGACATGGGATTCTCTCCCTGCTCAACTGGGTCGGGACGTGGCCTGCAGATATGGACCCCGGTTGCTTTGGCGAGGCGAAGCAGGGGCTCGACAGTCAAATCAGAGTCCATGGCTTGCAAGAGAAAGTGGAAGGCCAAGTGTGCACCGAATGACAACGCTTGATGTCCCCTGCGTCTCACTGCATATGCCGGGAATAATACTGTCTACAGTGCTGTACAATAATTAGGCAGGAGAAGTGGTCGTGACTGTCACTGCGCCGCATTCGACATACTTCAGCTGGACAAGCCCAGAGATAGCCTGATTTCAATTTCACAGCTTACGCCAGCCTGATGACCCAGCTCTTGCGTCTTGACACCACCAGGGTCGAGCAACGTTGTAGTTGAATCCTCAGCAATCTGTCAGGCATGTCAGAAGTTGGGTCAGATAAACCGAATGCCAATTTGGAGAGCAGAAGGGCAGATGAGGAATCTCTCAAGAGCCTCCAAGAATCCTTGGGCCACATCTCTTAATATTGGAAATGCTCAAAAATTTGGCTGGAGACGGTCTCAAAGTGGTCTTATTAACCCTCTCCATTCCTGTACATAGAGGACAGGATGCCTCAGTTAGCGATCCCTGTCTATCATTAGGCCAACTGAAGTCAACCTCCTCCATGCAAACATGGTCTAAATCCTGTAAGTGGTAGAATGAAGGTGCGAGTTAGATTAAATGGCTGATCAAGAACGCATCCACAAGGCGTAAGCAATCGCGTCGAACCTGCTCCGTTACACTTCCCATTGAGGCACCCGATCTTCTGGAACAAGAGAAAAAAAGGATTATGTTCATTCATGAGGCCTCTGCGTGTCTATTCGAATAATCTGAAACTGATTAGGGATTACAATATTAGCAGAAAGCCTGGTGATTTTGATGATGAGACTGTAAGGTCGCACCCAGTCGGCGTGCGTGGCCTACTTATCTGAGGGGTCCAGCGGAACTCTGCTGCAGCTGATCGCGGATGCGATGACGTTCACAGGGTTCTAGCGCATTGTTTTTAGTGTTGGTCTCTGTGGAAGACTGAATTCAGAGCAACTGGGGTTCAGGGAAAAGCTTCATGCAGGCTTTTGTTTTAGTGCTGGCGCTTACACTGACAGGCCTGTGAGCTCATGAGCCCACCGCGACTTGCTCTCCCTCATCACAGGCATCTTTCTACTAGGTCAACTCAGCTACACGGATGCGAGCACTTGGGCGAAGCAATTACACTTACGTATTTTACTGCCATCTGCTTCTTATGCATGACTGAGTTGTTGCTTGAGGCGTCTAATATGAACGGCGGGGGGCGGCGGGTGCGGGGAATATTCTAAAGCCCGTGACACTAAGTGCTTCGTGCCATCCAAACACTGATTCTGCGAACGCCGCGGCGTTCACAAAATTTGGCATGCAACATCTCTTTCACCATTCATGTCATGAAATCGCAATGACGAATATCCAGCCCGGGCAAGAAGCGCAACAGGGGAAACCACCCCAGCTGCCAAATTCGGATCCAGAGAATGCCTCCACGCAAGATCGTGCTATGGAGCAAATTGCCAGCAGTTACCGGTCCGGCAAATCGGTGGCGGCCGATAATACAGGCCAATACCGCACTGCGTGCTTTAGCTGTCGGGCAGCGAGACAGCGCTGTGATCGGCGGAAGCCCTGGTAGGATGCCTTGCGCATTGATGGCCTACCTATGCCCTATGCCGATGCTGACACGCTCCGCAGTTCGCGATGTACTTCACAGGGACAGACATGCAGTTACCCTCTTCGATCCAATAGAGGCCGTAAAGAAGGCAGTACCAAGTAAGTTCATAACATCTCATCGATTACAAGCCATGCTTACATCCAGCCAGTAAACCAGACAGTCTCGAGAAGCTCTTAGCTCGCATTAACGAAAGCCCTGTGAAGGATCAAGTCATCGCAGCCATTGTCAAGTCTCTGAACAATGGCTCAGACAACTTGTCTCCGCCCTTGACTGATTCGCCTGGCTTCCAAAATCAAGGGCTTGAAGTGTCCATCGACACGACTACCCGCTCGGAGAGCCCTGAGTTACCAGACACTACTCAAGTACCATGCCCGTGCTTCAAACTTGAGAGGGAGAGTCACGTAGTATCCCCCTTACAAATCATGGCAGCGGCTATCGCTGCGGACCTACCGACAACATCACTATGCCCAAGTCACACATCTCGTTCCAAAGATGGAAATGGCTTGGATGAGCGTCTAGTGGAGTATCTTAGTAAGATGCTCTCAAAGCTTCTACCGTTGGATAACTTGCTGATGCTAGTCGACCTGCAGCTCCTCGATCAACTCATCAGAAAGATTGGCACGTGTTGGCATCTCAGTCCAACAATACGACGTTGAAACTGGAGTCGACAGCATGCGATCCCGTAACCGCTCGTCTTGTCGACCAAAGCGATGTCTCGCTCTATTTTGACTTGTACGTGGGTGTTTTACCAATGCTATCACAAGTACTGATTAAAACTCTCATGCAGGTTTTTCAAAATGCGCAACCCACTAGTAGGACTGCTCGATCCTGTCCTCCACACCCCTGAAAGTGTTTACAATGCATCTTTCACTCTGTTTTCTGTCATTTGTGCTCTCGGTTGCGCAATATCAACTCGGCCTCGTGACCGCATACTGTACCCAACGCTTCTCTCTTTAGCTGAGGCGAGCATGATGTGGTCCATTGCTGCATCTGTGAAATCGCTCGAAATCATTCAAGCGATTATCTGCATGAAGTACTGGGCACCATTGCACCAAAGACAGGCAGACGATCCATATTGGCTTCATCTGGGTCATGTACGTTAACCTCGTGTTCTAGTCGGAGTCTTGATCGATTTGAACTGACAGACTACCAGGCGGCACAGCTTGCGAAAGAACTGGGGATCAATCGACCTTCTGCCGTGACTGAACAAGCCAACGCGCTAGCCCCGGATGCAAGCACCGAATTCAAAGAACGAATGATGCGCAACATTGAAAGAACATGGCTGTATGTTTTCATTGCCGACAAGAGTTTTGGTATTGCGACGGGTCGCTCCCTCATTGTCGGTTGGAACGAGTTGCCTCCATGCCCCTGTCAATGGTGGAAAAAGCCCATGACGAACCCATCAGACCGCATGATCAGTGGGCTCATTGAAATAAGAGTTCAGTTGGTAAGCTTTCACTACTTATGCATTCATCCTAGGAGTGACACTAAACATGCAATTAGCTGGAAGCCTTGAAACAGCTAGGGCGAGGTATCAAAACCCCTGAAGCTGTTCTAAGCTGGCACTCAAAAGCCTTCGAAGCCCTGGAGAGCACTCGAAATAAGGCATGCTCAACACATGACCCCCGAATCGCAACCTCTCTGCCCATTTTGGCTTTCTACATGGACCACAGTATCATGGTCCTGAATGCACAGGCAATGAGAGACCTCAAAAACATTGACGAAGAGGTCAGGTGTGCAGAATTTCTAACAGTATCCCGGCGGGCATTCGATGTGGCGCGGCGCGCGTTGGAGCTTGCGCTCTCAGACTCAACGATGCGAGAACTCAGATTAGGATGGCATAACAACCAATTCATTATGGTCGCGCATGCCATGACGGAGATCCTCCATGTAAGTTGGATTCGAAAAGGAGGAGAACGAATAACCTCCCTCCGGCTATTTGAGAACCTATGGCTGATCATGATGCTCAGGCCATCAAGCGCGGAAATCTTCCTCCGGCTGATGTCGTTGATGCTGCGACCAAAGTACGGTCGGTGCCTAGGTATCTGGAAGATATGGCGCAGGAACTACCAGATACATCTGCTGTTCACTTTTATACCGCATTGTCGCGCGTTTTTGCTTCTCAGGTCGAGAAGTTTGTCAACGTCGAAGACCAGAACACGGATCAAGACGCTGGTATTGACACGAATCTGTTTGTGCCAGAATGGCTCAAAGAGGTGAATGGAGGCTCTTTGGATCCTGCTTTGTGGTTTGATGTAGGGTTTCTGAGCGTAGAACAACCAAGCTTTGGCAATGCAGATCTTGGAGGAGTGGAGGACTTGGACAACTTGACTTTCAATTGATTATCTGGCAGACTAGACGGACACTTTGGAGGACGAAATCAAAACATGAAAATGGTAACTTGATTCAAGACATGTTGAGCCGTCCGTGTAGGTATTCTTTCGAGACTGGTTGTTGAAGGCTAGTGTACTCAATTTCCTTCCACTTTTGTAACACCAACCTAACATTTCTCAACCTTGTCGCAACTTTGAGTATAACCATTACCAGACACATCGTCTACCTTTCGACAATAACAAGAGGCGCGCACATTTACATCTGCCAAGTTGACCGCGAGCTTGAGTGGAAGCTCTAGCAGCCGGGCCTCGTCATTCCGACCGAGACGTATCAGACATTCGTGGTACCCATGCAGTGCCCAGATGTTGTTGGGATGTTGGTGGCCGCGAGGAAGTGAGGTAAGGAATCCCAGATCCTCAGCGTACGCCTTAGCCGCCTCTTCGACGTGGCCTTGTTCTAGAGACAAGGCAGCGTAGGCGTGTCGAGTCGGCTGCATCCATCCCCAAGGCTCACTATACTTGAGGTTGTCATCAAGTTGGATCGACTTCCGCAAGTGCTCAAATGCCGGATCAAAGTTTCCTCGGCGGTACTCCAATTCACCTGCAAGCATAGCCTCGCCAACCTTAAGTGTCTCGACACATTGGTTGGGGTAGTCGTATCGCGATGAGGGCACATTGGCATATGCCTTGGCGAAGAGTTTCTGTTCAATCTCGGCCTCTCGTACACGGCCTGTGGCTGCAAATGCCATTCCCTTTGCGTAGTGAAGTGTTGCGGTTGTGACACAGTACAATGTCTGGTTTTCGGGCATCTTCAGATCCAGAATCGCATCCCAAAGACCAAAGCGGATAAGGACATGGGCGCGAACACCAACGAAAGCCTCAAGCCAGTCGGCCATGGGAGGCGACTCAATAGCCAGCAGCTCTTCGGGAAGGGCCTTCTCCATCAGGTCGCAGTTCTCCAGAGCCACCTTCGATTGGCCGGAGAGCATAGCGGCGTAGATGAGCGAGTGATAGTTGTGAGCGTGGTAAAACGTGTACAGATTCATCCTCCCAATCTTCGCAAAGAACTTGTTGTCTGCCACAACAGCTGCAACGTTGGCGGAGACCGCGCTCCGGTAGTCGCCGATCAAGACATCAATGTGGGATGGCATGTGGTTGAAGTGACCACCATCGGGGACCAGATGTCGAAGCTTGTCCGCAGAAGGTACCGCAAGCTCGGGTGTTCGGGACATTTCCACGAGATGAATGTGAAGATGCAGCAGCCCCGGGTGCTCGTCGGCACCCTCTAGGGTAAAGGCATGCTCAAGAGCTGCCATGGCGTCGAGAGTCCGAGCATTAGCACCGGGTTTCCCGCTGTACGGATCCCACATTCCCCATGGTGTCAGGTTCATGAGTGCGTCAGTGTAGAGAACAGCCACGTCAATGTCGTTGCCAAAGCTTTCGTACACAGATTGCATGGCGCTGGCGTATGCGTCGTTCCAGGCGGAGTAACCCTGCTCGTTTGTCGGCTGAGGCTGAAGGTATCGCTGAGCGATCGCGCGGATCAAGGACTGCTCAACGGGGCTTGCTCCGTCAATCCTCTCTAGAGCTTTGCGAGATGCCTTGTACGTTTCGTTGAGTGCAACTTTGAGCTCATTGGGGTCGAACAACCGCCATGCTTTGTTGTAATAGGGTCCCCGAGTGTACGCCAAGCCCCAATAGCCCATGGCACAATCGGGATCTGCAAGAATGACTTTCTCGAAGCATTCTGAGGCCTCGTTGTTGTTAAACCCATAGGCCCAGATAAGTCCTCGATTGAACCATCGTTGAGCCTCCAAGCTCTTAGTCGTGATAGGACGATGGTACTTTCCAAGATTGAAGTATCCGTCGTCTTTGAGCATGGCTGCTGTCATTTTCGCAAGCGTGGTACTGCTGAGAGTAGATGAAGAAGTATGAAGTTTGAAAAGAGAACGAAGTATGATGTACGACTCAATATGCACTTGGACCTCTCAATGTTGCAAGATGGATGGACTAAGGAATTCGAAAAAGATTAGAACTCTTTAAATGCAGTAATGAGTTGACCAGACCACAATTTAGATTAGTCGGCTACACTTTTGGTTTGTAAGTTGAGTGCGGCGTCTAAACAAGTTGCCGCAAAAGCTTGTGCGCATGGACTCATGCAGACAAAAGTTCTCAGTGAACGGGTGAATATATTTAATTAGGTACTTATCGATCATATAGAAATTCTCATGGAGTTAACCTGGTTTCGGGGATCATTTGACTAGGTGTACAATGTCTGCATTTGGGAAATTGCTTCAGCTGTTCACCACGAATAACTTCAAAATCAATTCAACATCTTTGCTTTTCGTCTTTCATTGTATTGTATCTGGGCAAACCATTGTTATTCAACATGTGGTTTCTAGATTACACAGCCTATCCGCGATTGCATCTCGGACGGGTTATTAGTCCCGCTGCTAGATTCGGGCTCCTTATTATCAACTTCCTCACCGTCCACAGTAACACCAGCTTCGCGCAAGCTACCACTCGCGCCGGTCACGTCTGAACTAGGCAGCAAGACCGCCGTCGACCATCAAGATCTGGCCAGTGATAAAGGATGCCTTCGATGAGGCCAGGAAAGCCACTGCCTCGGCGATTTCGGCAGCCTCTCCCCAGCGCTTAAGCGGCGTCACCGCAGTGGCGCCCTCCAGCAGCGCTCGCGTCGGCGTCTCCATCATCGGCAGCACCATACCGGCGTTGATAACGCCGGGTCCCACGGCATTGGCCCGAATGCCGTGATCAGCTTCCTCGGTGGCGAGTTGGCGCACCATCATGGCCACCGCCGCCTTGGGCGTGGCCGAGAGCGCATCGCACGGCACGGTGCGATTCACTGCGCTGGTGATCAGGGCGACGAACGAGCCACCCTTTGCCTCTCGCAGTACTGGAACGCCGGCCTTGGCGATGTTGTAGAAGCCATAGACGTCGGTCTCGATGACGCCGCGGAAGGACTCCTCCTTGAACTCCGCCAGCGGGCCCGTATCGAACACTAGGCCGCCGGCGGACACTACCGTGTGCACGCGCTTGTATGTGTCCACAGCATGCTTGAAAACGGCCTCGACCGCCTTGAGGTCGGTAACATCGCAGGCTATCGCGCTCGCCTGGCGCCCGAGCTTGCGTAGCTCCTCGACCAGGGACTCGGCTTCGGCGCGGCGCGACCGGTAGGTGACGACAACGTTGGAACCGCGCTCCGCAATCAGGCCAGCGCTCGCGCGGCCGAGGCCGCCCGAGCCGCCGAAGACGACGGCACAGCCTTCGCCAAATTCGGGTTGGGTGACGCCAAAAGTCATTTTATGTTCTCCTCGATGGTTTTTCGGCGTTAGGTAGTTACGTAGATCGAGTGGTTGTTGAGTGGTGTGGATAGGGTCTTAAGGGACGGAATGCTCTTGATTTCATTCAGTATAAATACTTGAACAATCAAAGAAGTGTGTCCAGACCTACACAACTCCATATGACTGACTCATGCCCCATTGATGCCATTGAAGGTATCGTTGGAACTCATGGATACCAGAATCCGCACCACCCCTGCTTTTTCCTCCGATTCGTAGAAGAAAGGGACTTTCGTCGAATATTGAGGGTCAAATGAGAGCCCGACGAGGATAAATCTGGCGATTGACAGGGCTCTTGCCAATCGGCCCCGGTAGTTGAGCGGATTCTGATATTCGTAAGTTCCTACATTAGCTCGTTTTCAATCATTCGACAACACGTGTACTACGTTACCCCATCAAGTCCCTAGAATGCGCACCGCATTTGCGGGACTGGGAATACCACGGCTGAGCTCGCTTGATACGGGAGGCTTACCCGGTGGATGCAGGGCGATAATTGGCTAGATTATTCGACCTCACATTCAGTATTCGATTGAGACGGCTCAGACGGATCGGCTGGTTGGAGCTCAGCTGGCTGTACCTGAACTGTCACATTCTTCTTCTAAGCCGGAAGCTGTAATAGGGACTGCGTGCATGAAGGTGAAGAACAAAGAAAACAACGCAAATAATATTGTGGTCAAACTTTGGTCTCTATATATATAGTGCAAGTCGGATATCTTTCCTAAGCTATGGAGGCGATCCATCGATAGGGATCGTAACCGTCGACTGCAGACACGTGGGGAATCACGTGTCTGGGATTCTGTCTTTACAAGAAAGACTGTGATATGAACGACACGGTGGCGAAAATTGCTCGTGATACAAGCTTGACGGTGAGCTTATGCTGTTGACGTCGAGAGTGTCCCGGATTTTGGGCGCCGATAGCACTGTCGACGATATTCCTTCTTGTTACAAGGTCCAGAACGCTTAGGATGGGGTACAGGGTCCAGCGTTGCGGAGAGAGGCTCCATTCGCCAGGTTGCCAGCTGCCAGCCCGGCACCGCAACTGCTGTTAACCTTGACGGCGTAATTGATAACTCCTTTAGGGGCCGTGGCGTCTCTCATGGATCGAACACCATCGTGGGGAATGCAGACGCTGTCGACAACTTGTTGATTGATGTTCAAAAGTTCAATCTGACATCCCGTGTCCTGAGCCATTGTAACGCCGGCAAAGCACGCCGATAGGATGACAAGCTCTGTGACTCTCATTCTGTAATATGAAGAAGAGGTGTTATGAAGTGTTTGAGGATAATCGATGTGTTTTTTGAAGAGGCAGCGGAAGCGATGGCAGGATTGGAAGGAATGACGAGGAAGAAGAACATCTTGAATATACAGCAATTCTTTGGCGGCTCAGGTGTATTGGATGAGGTCCACAGTCTCTACAACATGACTCAGTGGTATTTAGAAACTGCCTCAATATCAGGAGACTTGACCCTAGAACCTGTCGGGGATGGATACGGACCTCTCCTTTCCTGAGGTGCATGGGACAAGAATGCTTGACACACTTGTGGCTTAGATTATGTGCGTGAAGCAAACTTACTTCAGAGCTAATGAACATCATCTTCATAGCTAAGATAGCCTTGAACTTCAGGATTCCAGTCAACGAATCCAGTCGACACTCCCCATCGACTTCCATACGACGCTCGAAAAGGAAGAGGTTCACCATCGTAGTGGAGGTGTATGGTTCATTGAAAAGCAATTGCAACTGCCGAAATAGGTCATGCCAATCTTACCGTCCTAGATAACACAGATGTTTATTTCTTTTCCAGGGCCTGTTCTCTCTTCACTCTATGGGTCTTCGAAGAAGTCTAGGCTGTATCGATATTGTCTCGAAAGAGTTTGTAGGAAGCCCGAGTCAGGCAAGGTTTAGCTAAAGAGAGCTGCTAAACCGGAGGAAATAGTACGTGTACTAAATACTGCCATTTCAGAGATGATTTTCAAGCCTTCGACCGGCTATATCGCAAGTTCAAAGCACGTTCAGTCAGGTTGTCCCAGGAAAATATGCCATATCAGGTAAATTATCCGGCGTTAATATAGTTCAAAACCTAAAGTCGACGAAGCCGACGACGGCTGGATTACTCCGCGAGGTAAAATTGCCATTTTCGATCCATTTTCGGGTTGCTCCAGCATTCCCGCGGGATACAAAAGCAACTTTCACTGAAATAGGGGCTTCTAGGATTAATTGGGTTTCACAACGAGATTGGTCAACGCTTGTATGATGCCACCGAACACGGCGCTAGTTCAGCCGCCAGGGAGTAAAGCAGAGGCATTTTTGAATACTTCACGCGTCACACGGACTTCTCAAGCTTACTTCAGAAGGCGCGACCGTGATGATAAGCAGCCGATGACCAAGAAACTGTAGCGCCAGTCGGAAATCCGGAGCAGAGAAGAGTTTGGTCTATGTCTTCAAGATCACTCTCGAGAGGGTAAATAGCGAGCTCAGTGCATTTGCTCGTTTCAGACATCGTGGAGCCTGACTGGCTGAATCGATGGATGACAAGGAACCAGGGTGTGAGGTTGGCTGCGCGGTATTCCCAACCGAACCGTCAGAGCAGACGATGCGGACAAGGCATGAAAGGGCGAGTGATTGTTAGAGTCGCTCAATAAGAGCGAATAGATTCTTCGTGATCTGAGTAGTGCCTAACCACAAGTAGGAGTTTGCGATACCAACATGCGTTCTTAGTGGGGAGACGGTGCATGATGCGCGATGATTCATCGCGCGCCAAGCCAGATGCGGAAGGAGATCTCACGGGAACCTCTCGCGGCTGGCTATGGTGCTGGTTGCGTGCTGGTTGCACAACTTGCATCTTCCGCCTACAAATACACATGAACAGCTCTGTATGCCTTCGAATGAAAATTAAACCACCTTGCTTTTCATTCTCTCAACAGGTCACAGACACGGCCCATACTTTGGCTCTGCTGATTCTCGGTTCTCCTGTACCATCTCCATATTTGCCAGACAAATCGCGCTAGCACCGATTACATCGCCGTCAAAGTATCGAGTAATATACCTACTCTTGGAATTACTTCAAATTGTGCGACATAATGACCGTCGATAACGGCACCAATCAAACTTGCGACCCGCCATATCCCATCCCCAAGGGTCTTCGCATAATCCCACTGGACCAGCTCGATCTTCGGTCAGACGCTGAAGTGGACGCGATCATCAAGTCAGCCCCGCCAGTCACATCCACAAAGAATCTCTGGTTCTTTTGGAACTCAGGCTACGACGATTTACATCCATACGCGAAGCGTAATGTTCGCACCTGGCACCGTCGGTTCTCCAGGCAGGGTTGGACAATGCGAGTTGTGGACCTCGAGCCTGAGTCATCTGGATATATCGGGAACTGGATCGACATAAGAAACCCAAAGAACGTGCCCATGGCGTTCACTAATGGCGTCCTGGACGGGGAGTTTGCCACCCAACACTACTCCGATCTCGTTCGCTTTCCCCTACTGCTCAAGTACGGCGGTATCTACACGGACGTGGGGTTCATGCAGATTGGCGACCTTGATAAATTATGGGAAGAAACTATCGCCAACCCACACAGTCCGTTTGAAGTATTGTCTTACAATGCCGGTGGTCCCCGAGACTACAGCCTCCTAAACTACTTCATGGGAAGTCTTCCCGGAAACAAGTTCTGGCAAGCATGTCATGATCTTCTCTTGAAATTGTGGGAGGGGAAAACGAATACGGAGGGTCTACACAGTCATCCACTCCTCAAAGGGCTGCCCTTAATGGGAGAATCGTTCAGCAAATCGGGAGACACGAGTTTGAGCGAAAGATTGACAGACTACATCATCCAAGGACAAGCGATTACGATGGTTATGAGTACAGTCGACGAAGAGAGAGGTTGGAACGGCCCCGCATATGTCACGGAGAAAATATTTGCGCCGGATTACATGGTTGGGAGTCAGTTGATCAATGAGTATACGAACTGGAATGGAGTACAGGCTTTCAACCTCATGAGCCTGAAGGTGGCGCGGCTTGGAGAGCCGGAGTTGGACGATCAACAACTGGCACGGGAAATCGTGGAAGGTTGTTTTACGAGAAGCTTTGGCTTCAAACTAGCACACGGCTTGATTGTTCAAGTACTCGGACCTACGTTGGGAAGCTTGTGGAGGAAACATGAAGGCAGCGATGCGGTGGAAGGAACGTACGCCCACTGGTTGAGGTATGGCATGGAGAGATGGTGCCCAGACCATTTGCCGCAAAGGGAATATTACGAGTTACTGGAACCTGTAAAGTTTGGTCCATTATTGAGAGAGGAATAGACTATTCTAGTATCTAGATAATCGCAATGCTCGCATTTACGATCAATATCACGGATGAGAATATGGGGGCTGATGGATGTTCTTCCCATCAAACTTGACAGACATCTGGTGAAGGAGTTCAAGGTCGATGTCTTCCAGAACTCGAGCATTAACTGGCGTTCCCCCCTTGGACTTTTCATGCCAAAACTTTGCATTTTCAGGCAAGTCATCATGCTCTTCCTTCGACAGGATGTTGTGGTTGTTTGTGAGGAAGACTCCACAAGTTTTGCAAAACGATTTCCAGAGAATATTGTGGCTGAACTTGTATCGCCCAATGTCTTTTTCGTCTCCTACCAAGTCAACGTCTTCGTCATTGGGGTATACCCAGACATAACCGTTCTTCGATCGAGTGAGCAAGCTACATGTACCAAAACAAATTCATTTGCGATGTGAAACTTACCATCTCGCAAACTCTGCAGTTGCATTCTAACACAAGTCCTTCGTAGGCTCTATCCAGAGGGGTGCTACGCAGGCGAAGTGTCAAGGCTCCGCAATGGCAGCCTCCTGTGTAAATATTTGGGCTGTCCAGAGGAGGAGAAGTTTCGGCAGTTTTCAAGATAGAGCGTTGTTGAGAAGAGCTATGCCCAACATAATCAACCCTATCAAAAGTTATTATAAGGAAACTGTTGATTTCGAGGGACTCTTTTCGTACTGTTCCAGCTTCAAATTCTTGACATCAAGGGCTTGAAATGTCCGAGCCTATACAGTCAGATGTCGGAGGTCACCTCGTAGAAGGTACCACTACTTACATTAAAGGCTATCTGTGTATCAGACGAACTGGTCGCCATCACAGAAGTAGCGCAAATACCGCAGAACTGTGAGGTGAGATCGTGTTTGCCGCGGGGGATCATCGCAAACTCTTACCTTGTAAGTGGTATCTTCCGCACCGATGGTGTAGCTCGTCAGAGACCTCTCGTCCCCTTTGACAAAGGTGACCTCACTCCTGCTGGCAGACAACCATAGGTTTGCCTTTTTGACACATAAGTCGCAACCGCACTGTGTGGCTTTCCCGGGTTTTGGAAAGTAGACGACGTACACAACCGCAGTACAGTGGCAGTTGCCACGCAATTTTCGCGCGGGTTCGTGGGGTTCGGTCATGCTGTAAATGAAGGTGAGATGAAGATAGGTAGCTGGAGGGCTTCCGCAGAAGATTTGGTACAACTTTTAAATCAGGCCCATCGGGCTTCATAATGATATCGGACCCGGAATGGAGTTGCTCTTCCGTAGGCTTGAAGATATTTGTTGAGCTGCGGATCCTACGGCCCGCCCACCAAATATGCTGCTCGGTTTCGGTTTCTTTAGTGTTTGTATTGGATGCCAGCTGGATTACCGCGCGCCGTTGTTGGCTCGTGCATTCTAATACTGCATGGTATTGTTGGGCCATACTAAGCGTGTATGGAAAGGAGAGCCCCTCAACTCTGCGGCAACAGCGAAGAATCCCATGCCGAGAACTTGTGACACTGACCTTCATAAAATGAGATTATGCGGCCAGTGACAGTTACGTCCTCCACAGCACAAGTTTTGAGACAGAAGCACCAGTATTATCCGCTAGTAAAAGTCCGGTTTTTCTTGCAGCCATCTAGATTGTTCAGTGACACCGACCAGGTGCATCCTCAGATTACCGTTGAAAGTAATAAACTTTTAGAGAGGCGTGACGGGATTGTTCTACTCCGCTACAGCGGTGGAGATTGCACAAAGCTGATTTCCCGCGCGCTTACACTCCGTTGCGTTGACAGCGTCCGCCCCCCCTTTTTGCCGAAATTACGCACGCATAATCCCTGTATATACATGAAAATTTGCCCAACGCCACGTAGATATTCGTAGTACGGCAATTGACCTATTCTGATGGCTTCAATTGATCTATTTCTATTGAATCTCATTATCTGAGGGCATCG